AATAAATGCTTGAAAGTATTTGTAATAAAAACACTTATTATAATAAATATCATGTATTTACAGGTGTCTTAGAGACCGATAACTTTAACTCGGATTCATTGAAATACTTGACTGCCTTACGCCAGGTACAGCCTAATAAACCCCTACACGTCACTGAATTCTGGCCAGGTAGGTTTGATTACTGGGGCGATACGGCTCACCATACTATGGATGTCAAGTATTTCGAGAAAGAGATTTCGGACATTATATTCAAAGCCAACTCTTCAGTCAATTTCTACATGTTTTTCGGTGGCACTAACTTTGGGTTTATGAACGGGGATAAAGTGGCCACTAGTTATGATTATGATGCACCCTTATCTGAGACAGGTATTATTAATTTTGATGTGTTATTAGAATTGATTACAATTTTATAAATTAATTTAAGGCAATTATTCGGCAAAGTATTGGAAAACTAAGGAATTGATCGATAAGTTTAATAAAGAGAGATCTCAACCGGATATATATATACCTAAACCCCCGGAATATGTACCTCCAGTTTCTTACGGCAAACTCAAAGTAAAAGATTACTTGAGTTTAGAGGACGTGTTGACACAAATGAAGCCAATCGTCACCGAAAAGCCACAACACATGGAGTTATTAAATATAACACAGAATTCCGGACAAAGTTATGGTTTTATTCTCTATAGACTTAAAAATCTGAATAAATTTAAACATTTGAAACTAACGGGTAATTCAATGAAAAATTCTTATATGATTTCATATTTGATTTTAATTTTATATAAACTTATAAACAGGTGGTGTCTCTGATCGGGGAGTCATACTCGTAGACCATAATGAGGTCGGTTTAGTTGAAAGTGCGGCGAAAGACTATAATCAGGACTTAAATGACACACAATTTGCAAACACAACGACTCATACGTTGGATATTATTGTTGAAAATACCGGTCGACCCAATGGCGGGGCTGTAATGAATACCGCCCGAAGAGGTCTTAACGGNATGAATACCGCCCGAAGAGGTCTTAACGGTGACGTCGCTATCGATGCAAAAGTTGCCACAAATTTCGAGACATTTCCCCTTGAATTCAAAGAACCATTTGTTGAACAGTTAACTAAATTAAAGGGAAAGCCGTTCATTGAGGGCATCAAAAGTCCAGCCGTTTATCGGTTAGAATTGGATATTAAGGACAGTCCGAGGGATACATTCATACGACTGGACGGTTGGGTGAAAGGAAATGCATTCATCAATGGTTTCAATATCGGCCGGTATTACCACATCGGACCTCAAAAAAATCTGTACATCCCTTCACCTCTACTAAAAAGTGGGAAAAACGATATATTACTGTTTGAATTGCATTCAGCCACCGATACTGTTGAGTTCCCTGGTGAACCAGACTTAGGCCCAGTGTAAATTTCATTAGTTTTATTATGTATAAAGTACTTCAAAACTTTTTAAAAATTTTAATAAAAAATAATTTTTCCCCGCTTGGGGCGCGATCTCATGCCCCCCTATACACCTATTGATTAGCCTTAACTTAACTATTGTTAGTGCGACACTCTAACCGCTACACCACTCTACTCCCCACCACCCTTTGCTGAAATGAGCTTTTAAATTATAAAAATAATAATTAAAAATAAAAACATTTCTATTTTTTAAATGTATTTAATTTAATCAGGATTAAATATAGCAATGAATCATACAATAAAAACATTTTTAATTAGTATTGAAACGAGATAAACATTTTTAAATTTTAATTTAAAACTCCGTATACACTGGTGGTGGATCACATTCACTACCAGTGCCCACAATATTGACCATAGCAGGGTACTGTACAGTCATTATAGGTGTTTGTTGTAATGTGATCCTGTAGCAATCGTATGCAAATGAAAAGGCCAGGCTACTTATAGCCAGGTTTAGAAAAAATGATGGATAATAGTTGGAGTTGTGAATGGCTGAGCCGAGTACAGCTAAAGTTCCCAATAGGGCCAGTATGGCAAAGTACAATGACAGGCCATAATGTTCCTTGAGCGCGCCAAACATCCCAATTGAATATAAGCAACAAACTACCATTCCTATGGATACTATGCTCACTATTATACCAGGCTAAATGAATGAATAAATAAATGATTCATTTAAAATGAATATTAAACTTGCAAGTTAGTTAAAAATTATTTTGACTTTAAGGTGCAAGTTATAATTATAATAAATTATTATTAGTTTAATTTACATGATTTATTTATAATAAATTTAATTATGTTGATAATTATACTTGTACAAGTATATGTGTATAAAGTAAAATAATATAACTATATGTTACTTACGGTAATTTGTTCGCTATGATTTTCCATTGTAATTAGTGTGATGATAATGTTGATGGTAATAAGCAAGGTACCGATAACAGAAAGCGCACTCAGCACAAACATTGTCCACTTTTTGCATTTAAAACTTGCCGTATGACGGATATCCATTCTGGGTAATTATTTTTTAAAATAAACTAAACTCAAAATAAACTTATTACAATTGTTATATAAATCTTTATTATTGTTCTTATATTTATATAAAATTTTAAACACAAAGTTTTCCCATCACAACATCTGCTTGCTAAACAAATATCAAAAATAAACAATTGATACTATATTTAAATTACTAGTCATTGACTTTAATGGTAACCAAACTATATGAAGCTATTATCAGCTATATTGATGTCATTAACTCTTAAGTGATTTGCATATATAATTGCACCATAAAGTCAATTAACCAGGTTTGTCTAACACAGGCCAATGGCATTTATTTGTATTGTTAGTAATCTAAAAATAGTTCTATTTTTATAGTTTTTATATCTTGAGTATTCATTGAGTAAAATATAAATCATAAAAATATTTGCATTATACAAATTCCTAACAATTAGTGCAGTCACTTATACGGCACTTACAATATATTGTTATAATTACAAGTTTTAATTATAAAATACGTTTACATTACAAAAAACATTACATTATAATATTAAAGTAGACGTTAGATTTTTCGCATAGAGTTTTATAAAACACTTATAACCAGAAAAATGTCTCATTTTGTATACATTCTAACGGGTAATTATTTTTATAAAAGTTATTTGGTATTTTAAAATCTTAAATTTCATTCCAAAACTAATTACAGTAGTAATCAGTTTATCACAACTCAATGGTTACGAATCGGTTAAAGAATTTTGCACAGAATATGCCCAGAATTCTGATAGAATTGACTATAGCTTTCAATTACCATTAGTAGACAAACATAACCAAGGACTAAAACTTTATAAAACAGTTTTAGTGATTGGACAGGACTACTGGCATATATTTTATAATCGTAATGGTAATGATTTTCATATCCAAACCAACGGTTTTGAAGCCAATTTCCTGGGCAAACAATATGCCACAGGATTTACCATTGACTTCAACGCCAATTATAAACATATCTCAGGATTTTTGACAACAGTATAAATGACTTATTAGCATAAATACATAAAATTATATTGAAATATTACTATTTTCAGGCAAACATCTCCATAATTAAGTGGTTTCATGTTGAGGCCGGTGATGACAATAGACATATCAGTGACGCCGTACCCATCGCTGACGAGACATACATTGACTTTGAGAGTGATTTCAAACCCACTGTCAGTATAGCCGACAAAAACC